CTCCCGCGGCGGCGGAGCGGACGCGGGGCCGCGAGCCCGGAGCGCGGAGCTGGGACCTGGGGAAGGGATTTGGGGGAGATGCGCTGTAATGGTGCCGATCGTTGATTTTTCGCGGCATTTTGGGTGGGAAATGGTTGTTTCGCGAACTGCTCCTTTCCGCCGATTGTGTGAAGCGTGAGTATCGAGGCAGCTGCGCGCGCGGGGGCGCGGGGCGTGCCCCGCACGCTCTCGGGTGGGGGAGGGGCGGGAGCAAAAGCAGCCCCCGGATCTCCTGGGGGTATCTATTCCAAACTGTGTGTCCGAGCGCCCCTCCCGAAGGCCGGCGACGCCGCGGGGTCCTCCCACCTGAAACGCCCACTTTTAAAAGTTTACTGCCGTGCGCACCCCAGGCCCTCCCCAGCCCGCTCTGGGCCGAGTGGCGCGCGTGCCGGGTGCCGGGCTGCCCTCAGGGGCGTCGGGACCCCAAAAGGGCCCTGCGGTGTAGAGTGCGGTGGGAGCGCGGGGCCTCCCCAGGCCGCACGTGCGTCGGTGCGCCCCGCGCTGAGGTCGCCGCAAGCTGAGCTGGGCGCGCCGGGCGGCGGCCTGCGGGTTCGGACCTGCGTGGACAAGCGACAGTCCCGTACAGTGCCTTTGGGTTCCGTGGGCCAGGTCAGTTGCGGTCTGTGTCCCCGGCAGCCCCTCACCTTGCCGGAGGTCGCTCTGGGGCGAGGCAAGTCGCCAAGAAAGTGGCGCTCTGCGGCCTGCGTGCCCTGGGGCCGGGCCTCTGTGGGGTCGCGGCCAGTCCCAGGACCCAGAGCGCGCCCACCGGCCAAGGCTCTGCGGGCCCGGGAGGTCTACTGGGGCCGCCCGCAGGCGACTTGGGGACACGACAGACGGGAGGCCCTCTCTGGGGGCTTGGCCCAGTGTCCCTGTGTGGACATGTGCCACGTTTCCTATCTCTGGTCATTCTTTTGTGGACATTTGCTTTTTCTTTCACCTTTGACCATTGCGAATCGCGCTGTCATGACCGTGGTGTATCCGTTTCCCTGTTTTTGAGTCGATGCCTTGGAGTGGGATTTTGGGGTCACACGGCTGCTCTTTGGTGAACCTTTTGAGGAACCACAAAAGTTCCTGCGTTTTCCTAGTTCTTGCTATTTGAATGGGGGGAGCCATTTGAATGGGGGTGTCCTGCCCCCCCAGGGGCTGCTGAGCAGAAGCCCCCATCCCACCCCCCACCCCAGCAGCAGCAGATCCGGTTCTTCTGCAGCCTTCGCAGTGGCCTGAGGACATCTGTCTCCACCCCTCTGACAGACCGCAGCATGCCCTCCGAGACACCGCGAGCAGAAGAGTGGCCGGCGGGGTGCCCCCACCCCTCAGGGGCACACTCCAAGACGGGGAGCCTGGAGCAGGGGCCTCCGGGGGACAAGGACACCAAGGAGCACCTCTGGGTCAGTCCCAATGTCCCGAGCAGATGCTCCTGGCAGCTGGGCAGGCCCATCACCGACTCCCCGCATCACCACGCTACCCCGTAAGTCCCTGAGTGTGGCCACAAGACAGTCCGTCTGTCACCTGAGGGCAGGAGTTTGTTCCCTGGAAGCCACCTAGCCATGTGGCCCCCGGTGTGACCTCCCCCTTGTAATCACGGGTGGGCTGCAGGGGTGGGGGGCCCTTTGTAGACGAGCCCACCCAGGCTCAGAGGCCAGGCTTGCTCACCGTGCTGCCCAGCCCCTAGGTCAGTGTCCAGCAAGAGCAGGTGCTGGATACAGAAATGCAAGTGCCCAAGTCACACGCTGTGAGTGACCACAGAGGTGAGGTTTCTAATGCAGGTCCATCAGGCCGCACGCTCGTGTTTGAGGTGAGTATGCGCATCTTCGGCAATTAGGATCATACATTTACCTTTCTACGCAACTCGAAATCCTAAACGTTTCTCCTGGCTGTGAAACATTTTTCGATAGTAGGCCCCGTTTGTGGTTGGACAGAGACTGTTGGCTGAATAAACCATAGTTTTTATAAGCCCTCTATTGGGTATTTAGATGTTCGCAGTTCTCTTGTTATGAATAACTACAGTAGCAAACTATCTGTTCACAGGGTCACTGCGTCCTTATTGAGCATCTGTGCTAGGTGTAGGAGATTAATCAGGGGCAAAGAAAAACAAAAATCCCTGAGTCATCATGAAACTCACATTGAGCTCCCTAAGGTTTAAGATTATCTATTTCCTTAGAGGAATCTCACAGAAGAACAAATGAGTCAAAGACTCTGTCTCTTAGATATTTGATTCTTAGTCTGTACATACAGTTCTACCAACTTCTATGATTACTGATTTCAAAATCAGAACTAGGGGTGGGCAGGGTGCACTCCTCAGTGGGGCCGATAGGTGGGAATGGGAATTTATAAACCCAGCAGCTCCAAGCACTAAACATCTGAATGCTGGGAGCTCAGGAGGTCAGGTTGGCCACCGGCCGAATGGAGTGAGCCCTTGGTGCCAGGACGAGCCAGAGCAGTCGGTGGAAGCTGGTGTGAGGCTGGGGTACAGCTCTGAGGTGGCAGGGAAGACAGACCCCCAGTCCCGAGGGCTAGGTGAGCAACCCTGGGTCCTGGGGCAGAAAGGACGCCGCTCTATCCAGATTGCCAGCACCTCACATCAGCCCTGAAGGCCCCTCTTACAGAACCGGAAGGGGTTCCTGTCCTGTCCTGAAGCTGAGCCCTGTGTCACCCGTCCCAGTTAGGAGGGAGCTGGGCTCCGCCCGAGTCTCGCTGGGGTTTACCTACTAGGAAGACATAAGACCCGGGTCTCCTGGAGGAGATAAGCCTGGGGGTCCTGATGGTGAGACCCCCTCGCCCCATCCCATGAGGTGATGAGACAGGGCGACCCCGCGGGTCGCTGCGGGGAGGGGGTTCCAGATGGTTCTCAGGTGGGCTGGGCTCAGAAGATGGGCAGAGGGGAGGGCAGGCAAGGCCCCACCCCGGTGAGGAGTTCGGGGCTTATTCCAAGATGCCGTGGGGTGAGTCTCCTGCAGGCCCCCCTTGCTGTCAGAATGAAAGCAGTTGAGACAGGTGACTCTGGGGCCATCCCTGGTAAATTCTCTCCCTGGGCCCTTCCCTGGTCTCAGGTGAGGAGATCCGCAGGTGGCTGAGTCAGGGACCCCGAGTTCTCGGCCTGCCCAGGACCCCCCGTCCGGTGGCCTCCCTGGCTGACCCAGCTGCCACCAGCTCTTCCCCACACGAGGCTGCGGGGGTTGACTTCTGTCCCGTCTTGGCTCTGTCTAGTTAATGAATCAACCCCAGCCTGGCCCCGAGGGCCTGACCTCCAGAGTGTGGTCAGGAGCCCTTTGCCCTCAGCCCGGACTGTTGCCTCACCAAGTCCTGCCTCTAGCTTGGCTACGGGGTGTCCCTTTTAGCTCCCCCACACTGCGAGGGAACAGTCGGACGCCAGCGTGTCTGTGGCCACATGTCTCCGCGTCCACCCAAGT